AAGTTATCTGTTATGTGAACAATCTCTAGGTGTTTTGTAAGGAGAGGGTTTTCCAGATTACTTAGTTCTCCTTATTGCGGGAAGCTAAAGTTCTATTATTTCAGCTTCAAATGACCTCTGCGGTAGGTTTTTTCCAAGGATGGCCACCAACAATTCCTCTCATCCCTAGACGTGCCTACCATGTCTCCCATCAAGAGGCAGAGCTTGTTTCTCCTTTTGCATCTGGCTGTCTTGTGACTTGCTCTGACCAACAGAATGTAATGGAGGCGATGTACTGGGGTTTTCAAGCCCAGGACTTAGGGTTATGGCTTCTGCTCTCCTGGGATCCAGCCATCACGAAAACAGCACGACCTAGTCTTCTGAAGGACGAGAGACCGTGGGGGAGAGAGGCTGCCAGCTGAGGTGGCTGTCACATGAAGTTGCATCTTATGTTTTAGCTCCAGCTGAACTAATGAAATGCAGCTGCATCAGTGACTCCGGTCAATACCATGTGGAGGAGGAATCTTACAGAGCTTGGCCATCTCTGCCAAGCCCTGCCCAAAGTGCAGAATAGTGAAAAAATAAATTATTCTTGTTGTTTTAAGCCATTAAATTTTTTTTCAGTTGGCCAGTAAGGAGATCCAAACCCTTGATCTTGATGTGCCCCTAAGTTTTTACAGCAGCTTTCCTTTGTTTTGGGCAGCTGGCCAGTACAGGGATCAAACCCTGGACCTTGGTGTTATCAGTACCACACTTTAACCAACTGAGCTGACTGGCCAGCCCTATAGCAGCTTTACTGACATATAATTTACATACCACTAAATTCACCCTTTTAAAGTACATAATTCAATGGTTTTTAGTATACTGACGAGGTTGTGCCATTTACTTATATTTTTGTGGCTATCCAGATATTCCTGCACCATCTGACTATACTCTCTCCCATGGAATTGCCTTGGCACCCTTGTCAAAAATTAATTGACCAGATATGAGGCTGTATTTCCAGACTCTCCATTCCATTCCATTGATCTATGTTTACGCTCATGCCAGTGCCACACCATCTTGATTACTGTAACCTTGTAGTAAATTTTGAAATCAGGAAATATGTGATTTCAACTCTCTTCTCTTTCAAGACTGTTTTGACTACTCAGGGTCTCTTTAATCTCTTTCAATAATGTTCTGTAATTTTCAGAATATAGGGTTTGCACTTGCTTTTTTAAATCTATTCATTTTATCCTTTTGATGCTATCCTAAGTGGAATTGTTTTTCTAAATTTGATTTTTAAATTTTCACTGAAAGTTGAAAAGATCTTGTATCCTGCAAACTTGCTGACTATATTTGTTTTAGTGAATTCCTTAGAATTTTCTATATACAAGACCATGTCATCTGCAAATGAGAGTTTTAACTTTTTTCCCTAGTTGGATGCTTTTTTTTTTGGCCTGATTCCCCTGGCTAGAACCTTTAGTACAGTGCTGAATATAAGTGGTAAAAGTAGACATCCTTGGGCCGGCCTGGTGGCGCACTGGAGAGTGTGCTGCTTGGGAGTGCGGCGGCGCTCCCGCCGAGGGTTCGGATCCCATGTGGAGACTGGTTCCCGCTCACTGGCTGAGCGCGGTGTGGGCACGACACCGAGGGTTGCGATCCCGTTACCTGTCAGTAAAAAAAGACAAAAAGGAAAAAAAAAAAAGTAGACATCCTTGTCTCTGATCTTTGAGGGAAAGCTTAGTCTTTAAACCAGGGATTATTGATTCCACTGTGGTCACACATGCTATAAGATTTCAATTCTTTCACATTTTTTTTCTTATGGCCTAGAATGTGGTCTATGTTGGTATATGTTCCACGGGCACTTGAAAACGATGTGTATTCTGCTGGTGTTGGGCAGTGTTCTGTTGACTGAATCCTGTTGATTGATGATATTAAGCTCTTCTACATCCCTTCTAATTGTTGAGAGGGGTGTTGAAGTCTCTGAGTATGTGTGGATTCGCTAGACTTGTTTCAGTCATATCAGTTTTTACATCGTGTTTTGCAGCTCTGCTGTTTGGTAAATACACACAGGCTTATGTCTTCTTGGTGGATTTATCCTTTTTTCATTATGTAATGCCCCTCTCTATTCCTGACAACTTTGCTCTGAAGTCTGATAAATCTGGTATTAATACAGCCACTCCTCTTTCTTTTGGTTAATGTTCATAAGATATACATTTTTCCATCCTTTTACTTTTACCTACCTAATCATTATATTTGAAGTGAGTTTCTTGTAGACGGCATATATTTAGGTCATGATTTTTGATTCACTTTGCAGTCTGTCTTTTAATTGATATATTTAGACCATTTATACTTAATGTACTTAGTGAAATATTAGAGCTTAAGTCTCTCATTTTACTTTTTGTTTTTCTATCTTCTGCCTTTCTGTGGGTTATTTGAACACTTTTTAGAATTCTATTTAGACTTATAGTGTTTGGGGTGTACTTCTGATCTTTTTTAGTGGTTGCTCTAAGAACTACATTATATATACATGTTACCACAGCCTACAGTTGTCAACATCTTACAATCATACATAGCTCATGCACACAGTTCTCATGAAGTGTAGACACCTTCCCTCTCTTTACATAATTTGTTTTCCCCATTTATAAATTTTGAAACATTGCCTCTGATACATTGAGAACCACATCAGTTTCATAATTTTTGCTTTAACCATCAACTGTATTTAGAAAATTTAAGAGAATTTTATTTACCCAGTTTTATTCTTTCTGTTGCTCTTCCTTCCTTCTTTCCTGACATCCCAAGTACCTCCTTCTAGCTTCCCCTTTATGCTTAGAGAACTTCTTTAGCCACTCTTTTAGGGTGGTTCTGCCAACAAATTCTGCTTTCTCTCTGAGAATGTCTAAATTCACCTTAATTCCTGAAGGATATCTCCAATGGATTTAGAATTCTCCATTGACAGTTCTTTCACTACTTAAAACGTGCCACTTTCTTCTGTACTTGAGACATGTTGTTATTCAAATTGTTCGACACCATATCTTTGTTGTTGTTCTATGCTTGTTTTGCTGCTTTTGATATTTTCTTGTCTTTAATTTTCAGAAGTTTACTATGATGCATTTTAGTGTGAATTTCTTTGGGCTTATCCTGTTTGAGTTTCATTGAGTATATCTCCAAGTTTATATTTTGTCATTTCTGGGAAGTTTACAACCATTATTTCTTTAACTTTTCAGCCCCACCCTCTTTCTTTTCTCCTTCTAAGATTCCAATGACACAGATTAAATTTTTTTTTATTATGGTACCATAGGTCCCTGAGTTACCTTATTATTTTGGATTTTTTGTTTTGTTTTGTTTTGGTGGCTGGCCAGTAAGGGGAACTGAACCTGTAATCTTGGGGTTATAAGGCTGTGCTCTAACCAACTGAGCTAACCAGCCAGCCCCTAGCTTATTTTTTTAAAGTCTACTTTCTGTTGTTCAGATTGGGTAGTTCCTATTGTTTTAAGTCCACTGATTCCTTTCTCCTCCATTGTCTTTTTGGCCTGTTATTTTTCTTTCTTTTTTTTTTTTTTTTGTTTTTTGTCTTTTTCCGGGATCCGAACCCTCGGGCGGGAGCGCCGCCACACTTCCCAAGCGGCGCACTTATCCAGTGCGCCACCGGGCCGGCCCTGGCCTGTTATTTTTCAACTCTAAATTGTTCTTTATATTTGATATTTCTTTGCTGAGACTGTATTTCTTGATTAAAGTGTATTCATAATTGTTTACTGATGCATTTTTATAATGGCTGCTTTAAAACCTTTGTCAGATAATTCTAACAACTCTGTCATCTTGGTATTGATGTCCATTCTTTTCTCACTCAAGTAGAAATTTTCCTGGTTTTTGGTATGAGTGATTTCCAATAGAAACATGTTACATTTGGGGTATTGTTATGAGACCTACACCTAAGATGGGAGGGTATCCTTGTTACTGCTAAGTGGGGGTGAGTTCCATCATCCCTAGTCTCTGCTAATACCCTGGCTGGGAGGGTGCCTCATCTCTCAAGTGGTCTCCACTGACACCTACTCAGCTTTCTCTGTCACCACCCCAGTATGGTTTTAGTGTGCAACCAATACAGCCTAGGGAGGAAGGAAGTCTAGGCTTCTGACTTGGCCGTGGCTGGTGAAGGTGCAACTGCAACTTTTTCCATGGTGTTTGGATGGACTTTCTTCAGCCTTGCTAAGCTACCTCTTTCCTGGTCCTTTAACTAGAGAGAAAATACTTTTCCTAGGTTTTTTTTTTTTTCATCTGTATCTGTTGGCACTTCCAGGTTGCTGGCTTCTCCAGCACCACGTTTAAGATATGTGAAGCAAAAAGAAAACCCAGGGAACTCAATGCTAGCCATTCTTTGGGTCCTGAGGTCCTCAGCCAATCTGTCTTCTCTCCACCTTTCAGTCTTATGTTTGTTGTTGATAACATAAAGTCCAGGGCTTGATCCCTGTCCCAGCCAGCCACCAGGAAAAAAGTCTAGAGTTGTAGTTAGTGGGAGGGATAGGGATAAGTACTTCCAATCCACTTTTAATAAAACCATAAGTAACAATAATTTCTCCTTTTCTAATGCATAGTTCACTTAAGAGGTGAATTTCACCCATGAGAGTAACTTCTTTAAACCAAGGTGAATGCCATTCCCGTCTGGCTCCCTTGTTCCCTATGAACAGTTCATTAACTCTTTGCTGAACATACTTAATACCCAGCAAGGCACTTTAGGCCCAAGAGATACTGAGTCAATCTTCCCATACTTCCATAGACATTTATGCTTTCTCTCAGCTGCAGAGACTGAGCAAGTCTTGTGAGTAAATGCCCCGATATCATGATGGTGAGCAGTAAAGCAGAGGCAAATTTCCATTTTCTAGTACCAAGTCTCACTAAGGCCACTTGGCACAAACTTTTAAGAAATGAAGCTCAGGCTGGTTGATTAGCTCAGTTTGTTACAGTGCAGCCTTGTAACACCAAGGTCACAGGTTCTGATTCCCCTACTGGCCAACCTCCAAAAAAAAAGAAATGACAGCTCAAAAGTAGGAATAACAAACATTTATTCAGAAATGGTTAAGTAATACATAGTCACCTCCCTCAATGCCTCTTCCTCTCCTTCTGAACAAGAGACACAGATAAGTAATGTGGGGGAGGGGAGGTAGAGGCGGACACAAGGATTGACCCACCACATTCTCTTCCCTGTTTCCCAAGATGACATTGTGTAGAGCAGGGGTGGCAAATAAATCCTCTCCTCACCTCAATGTACCATATGGACATCCAGAGGATGAGGTCCAGATGGCCAGGTGGCTGCAGCTGGACTCAATAAACCTTTGTGATAACCAGAACACACCTGGCTTGGAAATAAGGGGGGAGGGGAGGGCAAAACCATGCAGGCAGGGATATTACCATCCCTACTCTAAGCAGAGACCAAGCAGTGATGATTGTTCCCAGTACCCAAAAAATCAGGTCCTATTGCCTTCTGGTGCTCTCCTGGGCCAGGAAGAGTAAAGTGTAGGAGGAATGTCTTCCAGCTGCTAAAGAGAAATCGGTATGTACGCATCCAAATGGGGTAAGAGAACAAAAGCAGCACTCTTTAAAGAACTGGAGAGCAGAGCACCATCAGGCACCTTCCTTAGACTTCCCCAACTTGGGCAACCTTAGAGCTAGAGGACTGAGGTTGGGTTCTAATTTTGGGTCCTTCCTGCTTGACAGATTTAACTGTGTGGAAACATGAGCTTCTAGGTTTTTCTTCACTGGGCTAGCCTCAAGCAACTCTTGAGTGTCTTAGGTTCCTTTAAGCCCTAGGCTTGTGCCTTTCACAGCATTTGCTACTGATTTTGCAGACCTCCCAGAATCCTGCTCTCCAACTTGCTCCAGCTCTGCCAGCCTGGATTCCCTTTACAGTCCCAAACAACCAGCTGGGCACTGCTGAATGACACCAGGAGCAACGCTGCCCTGTTATTCAGGGACTGCTCCTGGGTTCTATAGTTTTACCCCAACTTCCTGGGACCATGCTGGGGAAATAGCCCACCAGCTTGGCTGGTAGGGCTGCCCCGATCCCTTGCCTGCCTCCTCACTCCCGCCCCCCATCGCCCCCATTGTCACAGCAGGAAAATACCCCTCTAGTCATAAATGGGTCATTCATGGTAGTGGGGACAGTGCCCTTTGGTGGCAGCTGAATATATGTCTTCTGGCATCCCTGACTATAGTCCATTGTAGACAACTGAGGCCAAAGGAAGAGCCAAGTGTAAGCAAACATTGCTCATTCAAATAATCCCCCCAACCCACAATGTTGCAGAACGGGAGGCAGAGCCTTTGAAAAGCCCAACTAATAGAGAGCTGGCACTTGCACCAAAACCAGGGTGTGATAAGCGCCATGCTAGGTGAGGACTGGGAGGACTAACAACGCAAATCCCTCCCAGCAGTGACACCCAGAAGACCAAGAGAAGTGGGTGGGGCATTCAGCACATCTCAAGGAAAAAGGGAAATGTGGACTCGGAATTTACTTTGGGTTGCCTGAGACAGCATGAGCCCTCCAATCCAAGAGCTAGGGGTATATTCTTCCTAGCAGAGAAGTAACCTCACTGATGCTAGGCACACTCCAGACCTCTGGTCAGGCCTGGAGCCAACTGTGGTATGATGACTAGAGGCCTGCCACCTGATTCCCCACCCAGGCCATATCCACTGGCCAACTGGGTGAGTGGCACAGCTCTCAAGGTGACCTGGCTCCCATTAGGATAACAGAGGTTTCCATTCTCTGCTTTGTTTGAAAAAGCTTAAAGAACAGAAAGGTAAGGCAACCTCTAAGCCCCTGGAAAAAGCAGTATCCTTCAAAGAGCTCCTGCCCTGCATCCCATGGGTCTACAAGAAAGCCACCTAGAGAATTTAGTGCACTATTTCCAGATAAGAAATCAGCTTGGGGCTGAGGTTGGGGAGGCACACTCTGAGAAACACAAACCTACCTTGGTGAGGAGGCGGAGGGAAGAAGAAACATACTACAGGAAATGTTAACATACAGAAGAGCACAGGGTGGAACACAACAGAGAAAGGCAGGTCCCGTCCAGTGAGGAAGCACTTCACCCCCAGTGACCCTTCCCACGCTCAGGGTCTCCAGTCCGATGAACCCACTGGTCACAAGCTTTGCTTTGGGAAACAGAGCCCCCCCTCTGCCCCTGCTTCTGGCTGCCTCACTCCTCTGCTCAAAGTTTGATTTTGAATTCTGTGGGCTGTGTGGTCACAGAGGCCCCTGAGGACTTGAAGAGTGCCTTCAGGATGGTGTCAGGGTCCACTTCGGCAGGAGGGTTGGATGAGGAGACAGAATTTACCCTGCGAGGCAGCTCACTCTCCTTTTTCACTGAGGGGCTGTCACTCAGCCGCCTGTGGACAGCAGAGAAGAGGCAACATCCTCGTCAGTTTCCCTACATGAGGAAGGGCCGCCTTCACTGAGTGCCTGCTATGAGCTGCGCACTGAGCACAATGCTTTCTGCACCCCTTTATCTCATTCCACCTGGTAGCAAATCTGTCATTTTTCTTATTTACTGGTGAGAAAACTGAGAGGCAACCTTCTATGTTCTGGCATTTTAAGTTTAGGAAACACTGCATGTCCCTCCTGGAAGGTAGGTAACACACATAGTGTATTACACAATCTAAGAAGTCCTAAATTAAAGACATTGATTTAATTCTGTTTAGCTCAATGGTTCCCAAACTTAGGTCATAAAACCCTAAGAAACATTTCTAGAACACTATTCCTGGAAGACAGTTTCAGAAACTTGTGCAAATGACATAATTCATTACCCAGGGTTCAAATCCTAGTCTCTCTAAATCTCACAGTCTGTTTCAGGCCTGTCCTGCACTATCCCACCCACCTGCGCAAGTCTAACCTCCTCCCTGGGTATTGGCCTTCTTACAGAGAAAATGATGTCCTGCCAGATTTTATGAACCTCAGGCTCCAAAAAAGTCCTCAGTCCTGGGCTAGGCACATATGCCAAGGTGTGTGTGACAAAATGAGGGTAGTGCCTGGCACTGTACCCACTGGAGTCAATCACAAGAAAGTGGAGTTTGTTTACTGGGGTGATGCACACACAGTTGTACAGACAGGCACATGAACGGCCTGCTCTCCACTCTCCTCTCAGATGTTTCTAAATTATAAGGCTGAGAACAAGGTCATGATGCTAACCCCTACAGGGTCAACCTCTGGAGAAATGACCAGACAAACCACTTTGTTCAATTTTAAGCACCGTAACTGACAAGTTGCTATCAGAACAGATGAAATGGAATGGAGGATGGAGGAAAGCTGTGATGCACGTAATTTACTCCTCAGAATAAAAAGAGATGACCATGCAGAGTAAACAAAAAGAAAAGCTCCGCCCCGTCCCCAGCACCCCTGCCTTTGGAACTTACAGCAGGATGGGCTGGTCTGAGGTGATAACATTCCCATTCACGTGAAGGTTGCACTTCATTGGCTGTCCTGAAAAACCAAAGAAATAAAAGGCTCTGCCATGAGACCTCAGCTCCTCACACAAAAGGACAAGGGCTGCCATCTCCTTCACCGAGGGTCAAAGCACCCCACCATTGGTAGCTCTGACTCCACAGCTGGGGACGGGGCAGCCAGGTTTCAGCCAAGCCCAGACACTGAGAAAATCCCAGGGTGTGAGGAAACCTCAGCAATGACAGCACAGAGCAGCAAAGTAGCAACAAACCTTGCTTCATACAGGAGAGGATGTGTGTGGAAGTGAGGGTGAAATCAGTGTGAAGCCATCCACACTTGTTTATGAAGAAAGGAGCAGGGAAAATGTTTATGCTACGACATTCAGTGAAAAGAGGATTCATAAGTGTAAGTACAAGACTTCCGCTCTGTCCATGAAGGATTAACTGCTATGAGGACTGTACTCCCACTATCTGTAAGATGTGTTCTGTATAATAGCAATAGCACAAAAAAAGGGGAAGAAGGAAAAGTGCTATAGAGGAATAACATTTCTATATATTAATGGAATTGTTAGTATTGATCTGAAATAGATATGATAAATTACAACATATACTGTAAACCCTTGAGCAACCACTAAGAAAATGACTCAAACTCATTAAAGGAATTAAAATGTTATGCTAGAAAATATTCATGTAATGCAAAAGAAAACTACAAAAGAGGAACAAGAAGTAAAATGGCAGACAAAACCCAATTATCAATGATAACATTAAATGTGAATGGATTAAACAACCCAATCAAAAGGCAGAGACTGTCAGACTAGATTAAAAAAAAAAGAAGATCCAACTATATGCTGTCTATAGGAGACACATTTTACATTCAAAGATACAAAAGGTTGAAAGTAAATGGATGGAAAAAGATATATTACTGAACAGCAACCCTAAGAAAGCTAAATTAACTATACTAATTTGAGACAAAATAGACTTCAAAACAAAAATGTTACTAGAGATAAAGTGGGACATTTAAAATTAATCGAAGGGCCAATTCATCAGGAAAAAAACAATCACTAACATATATACAACTAAAAACAGTGCCTCAAATACACAAAGTAAAAACTAACAGAAGTGATAGTAATAGTAGACAATTAAACAATATAGTTGAAGATTTCAACACTTCACTTTCAATAGTCAATAGAACAATCAGGCAGAAGATCAACAATGAAACAGAAGACTTGAACAACACTATAAACCAACCAGACATAACAACATCTATAAAACACTCTACCCAACAACAGAATAATATATATTCTCCTTAAACACTCATGTAACAGAAGAAAATCTGGGAAATTTATGAATATATGGAAATTAAACAAAACCATCTTAAATAACCAATGAATCAAAGAAGAAATCGCAAGAAAAATTACTTAAAGATGGATAAAAATGAGGACACAATATACCAAAACTTATAGAATGCAGTTAAAACAATGCTTAGGAGAAAATTTATAGCTGTAAATGCATATATTAAAAAAGAAGAGTGAAAAAAAGCCTACAGAATAAGAAAATATTGGTAAATAATTTATCTGATAAGGAAGTTAAATCAAGAATAACTTTTACAACTCAATAATTAAAAAGAACCCAATTAAAAAGTAGGCAAAGACTGATTAGACATTTCTCCAAAGAAGATACACAAAATAAAGAAGCTCAACATCATTACCCATCAGGGAAGTGCAAATCAGAACCCCACTGACTATGTTTTATTAGTCTCTGCTTCTCCACTTCTAGCACAGGGCCTTGGTCCACAGTAGGTACTCGACAAACACTGAAAGAACAAACGAGTGGAAAAGAAGAAGCATGGCAGACAGGGTTCCTCTCCGCAGTCTACCTTAGATGATTAATGTGAATCTGAATTCAATGAAATCAGTAGTTTATTCAGTAGGAGTAAAGCTCACCCAAGTGCCAACAATTAGTCAAGGCTCCAGGCCTTTGAGGAACCTATGTCCTAGCAGAAAGAAGTCCAACATTTGGAAAAAGGAGGCTATGGCTCTTGGCTTCCCTGGCAAGACCCCTTGAGAGAGAACCATCCATGGAAAAATGATGTTTCCCTTCTTACTGGACTTAAATTCAAGGGCTGAGTGAAAATGCAGGGCCCTATGGAACCCCCAGCTCAGCACTACTCAGAGACTGAACATCCCTGCCTGTCCCTGGTACACAGTAGGCCCCAGAGAGGTGATTGTACCAGGATGTCCTTCCACCCATCTCAGAGGAAGGCTTGCCCTGGAAGACCTGCTGCCTGACAGCAAGCTGAGAGAGGAGTGGGAGGGTAAGGTGGCTGCTTTCTAACTTACCATCCAGACACCTGTTGTTATATTTCTTATATGAGCCTACAGAATAAGAAAATATTGGTAAATAATTTATCTGATAAGGAAGTTAAATCAAGAATAAATAACTTTTACAACTCAATAATTAAAAAGAACCCAATTAAAAAGTAGGCAAAGACTGATTAGCCTACAGAATAAGAAAATATTGGTAAATAATTTATCTGATAAGGAAGTTAAATCAAGAATAACTTTTACAACTCAATAATTAAAAAGAACCCAATTAAAAAGTAGGCAAAGACTGATTAGACATTTCTCCAAAGAAGATACACAAAATAAAGAAGCTCAACATCATTACCCATCAGGGAAGTGCAAATCAGAACCCCACTGACTATGTTTTATTAGTCTCTGCTTCTCCACTTCTAGCACAGGGCCTTGGTCCACAGTAGGTACTCGACAAACACTGAAAGAACAAACGAGTGGAAAAGAAGAAGCATGGCAGACAGGGTTCCTCTCCGCAGTCTACCTTAGATGATTAATGTGAATCTGAATTCAATGAAATCAGTAGTTTATTCAGTAGGAGTAAAGCTCACCCAAGTGCCAACAATTAGTCAAGGCTCCAGGCCTTTGAGGAACCTATGTCCTAGCAGAAAGAAGTCCAACATTTGGAAAAAGGAGGCTATGGCTCTTGGCTTCCCTGGCAAGACCCCCTTGAGAGAGAACCATCCATGGAAAAATGATGTTTCCCTTCTTACTGGACTTAAATTCAAGGGCTGAGTGAAAATGCAGGGCCCTATGGAACCCCCAGCTCAGCACTACTCAGAGACTGAACATCCCTGCCTGTCCCTGGTACACAGTAGGCCCCAGAGAGGTGATTGTACCAGGATGTCCTTCCACCCATCTCAGAGGAAGGCTTGCCCTGGAAGACCTGCTGCCTGACAGCAAGCTGAGAGAGGAGTGGGAGGGTAAGGTGGCTGCTTTCTAACTTACCATCCAGACACCTGTTGTTATATTTCTTATATGCAGTGATGGCATCGTCCTTCTTCACAAAGACTACCTCCGCTACCCCAGGATGGACCAGCCGGGCCCGCTTGAGGGCTCCACACACACAAAAAAGCTCCTGCAAAGAAGAGGTTGGGGGAGAATTTCTGACTGCCTGACATTCACATACTCTGAGGGCTCTGGGGTAGCTGGTGGCTGCGCTGTGACTAAATATGCCCTGTGCCCAAGATTTCAGGAAGACTCCACTTTGGGTGCTGTTCTTGAGAAACTCACAGGCCTTACAACACAGGACCAGATAAAGGACAACCCATGCTGGCAGTGAGAAATGAGTCTGGGCTTACAAGCCTCAGAGCACGTGTGAATTCCCAGCCAGTCAGTGCCAAAGTCCTCCCACCTCAATGCCCACCTCCTCAACAAAGATAACAGCTATGAAAGTTTTCTGAAAGCTCTGTCATGAGGATCAAAGTGTAGTCTCATCAAAGAAAGACAGTTGCTAATATGTCACCTGGGAATCTGTTAGAAATACAAATTCCGGAGTTTTACCTAGGGTGACCAGCAGTCCTGGTTTGGTTGGATTGAGAGGTTTCCCAAGACATGACTTTGAGTGCTAAAACCAAGAGAGTCCCTGGCAAAACTGGGACAGTTGGTCACTCTGAGTCAAACAGACCCAGTGTGATCCCTGGGGCTCTGCTTCCTATCAGCTGTGTGATCTCCAGCAAGTTACTTAACTTCCCTAGGGCTTCTGAAAATAAGGACCAGTCTTACCTACCTCTCAGGGTCATTGAAAAGCTCAACTGAGAAGGGCCAGCCCGTGGATCACTTGGGAGAGTGTGGTGCTAATAACACCAAGGCCACGGGTTCAGATCTCTTTACCAGCCATCTTTTATTTTATTTTATTTTATTTTTCTAAAAAGATGACCGGTAAGGGGATCTTAACCCTTGACTTGGTGTTGTCAGCACCACGCTCACCCAGTGAGCTAACCGGCCATCCCTATGTGGGATCCAAACCCGTGGCCTTGGTGTTATCAGCACCACACTCTCCCGAGTGAGCCACGGGCCGACCCCTACCAGCCATCTTTTAAAAAAAAACGGGTTATGCTCACTTGGGAGAGCATGGTGCTGACAGCACCAAGTCAAGGGTTAAGATCCCCTTACTGGTCATCTTTTAAAAAAAAGCTCAACTGAGATAATTTTTTTAACACAGTGCTTTGTACATGTTATCATCATTGGCTCCAATGCCTTCCTCACTTTATAGACAAGAGATTGTGGAGATGGACAAGAGAGGCTGACTAGCACTCAAGCCATTTCTTCACCTGCAACTGTCTTTCATAAGGTTGTGAGGGCAAAGAGAGTCTTCTGAAAAGGTCCTAAAAATGATCTGTTTTTAATGATAAAGGGGGGAAAAAAACCCAACATATGGAACTAAATACTAGGTGTAATCTCAATTTCATTACTGATCAAGATCAAGGGTTCGGCTCCCCACAACGGCCAGCTGCCAAAAAAAAAATAAAGAACATTCATACAAACTGCCAAGCATATAGTAAGTGCTTAATAAATGATAACTATTATTACTTGTGTAATCAGAAAAAGAATGCTTCAATTCTTTATAACTTGTCAAGTATCACACAAAGTAGTCTACAATTTCCATTCTCGTGCATTATTCAGTTCACTGTGCCTACTGAAGAAGGGACATGCTGGTGAGCCTGCTTAGTTCTCAAATTAGTCACACAGCACTTGTGTGTTTCACAATTAAGACCAGTAACAAATGTGGTGGCCAGTGTGGGCTGTTACAGAACCCAGGACTCAACTGCAAGGAGAGGCTGGAGTCTCTAGTTGTATTGACTTTGTGATCTGACAGTTCAACGAGTGCCTAGATTTCTAAACTAATGGCATTTTTGCCTGAGTGAAAATGAGATTGAAAAGGAAGTCCTAGTTGCCTCACCAGGAACCTGACAGGTTTTGCCCATGACTGCCATGGGTGGGAAAGGATGGACCAGCAAAGCAATCCAGAGAGGTCAACCACCAGATACTACCATTTCATCTCATTCCTTTTACCTTGGAATCCTTATGTGAACTCCTAAACTCCCAAAGAGGCAGGAAGTTCAAAAGACTCATGAAGAGTCTTGTGCAGAAGAGAGTGAGCATAGACAGCCTGACTGCTCTCCTTTGAAAGACCTGCTTCCCACACTGGTTCTTGGCTGAAGAACTTTTACTTTAAGAGGATTCCCACCACCCTAACTGACAGAGCAGCTCACTGTGCCTAAACTACACAAACAACATGGTTTATGCTGATAGTTTATGCTGAACATTTGCTTTCCTTCCGGGAATCTAGAATTTTGGTACATGCTAGGCAGAGAATGCCTAAGTGACTAGTCCCTAATAAAATCCCTGGGCACTGAGTCTTTAATGAGATTCTCTGGTTGCACGTGTCGTCACTTGTTGCTGGGGGAATAAAGCACATCCACTGGGAGAGGACGCTGGTAACTTGCACCTGGTTCCCCCCACTTTGTCCCATGAGTCTTTCCCCTTTGATTTTGCTTTGAATCCTTTTGCTGTTAAAAAAAAAAAAAACACAGCTTTGCCCTGAGTACAACTCTATGCTGAGGCCCAGCAAATCTTCAAACCTGGGGGGTCTTGGGGACCTCTGCCACAGAAGTGGTTTGAGATTTGAAATTCTGGCAGGCTAAAGTACTTACAACGATGTCTTCCTCAGTGACTCGAGGGTGCAGGTTATTCACAGTCATCTTGGTGCCTTCCAAAGGGCTAAGGACAGGCTGCCACACAGAAAAGAGTGTTACCAAAAGTCAGAGAGCTGTCACGCACTCACACAGCAGAAATCACTCCAGGCACGCCACCAGGAAGGCCCAGAGGAAACCCCCATGGTAGCCTGTCACAATTGGGCCCCTTGGATTTCAATGTCCATCACACCCCAATCACCCTATGCTAAAGGAACAGACCCTCTCCTCATTCCCCACATATGCAGGCCTCACGCTCCTGGGCCTTGGCTTGGAATGCTATGCATGCTTCAAGACCTACCCAGCTCAAACGGCACTTTCTCCTCATAGCCTCCCTGACTTCCTGAGTGGAATGAGATGCTCTTTCCTCAGTGCTCCCAGCAGCTCTCTCCTGGGAGAACCTCTACCATTATCATCAGACACAGCCATTTCTCTGGTGGTCTGCTGTCCCCACTAGCCTGCAAGCTCTTTGAGGACAGGTCCCTGGGTCGTGGTTTGCTCATCTGTAGAATGGAGGTGGTACGGGGGTGTTGTGAGGGCCCACTGAGGAACATACAGCACACTGCCCACCCCACACAGGCTGACTCAACTTGTGGTCACCTCCACCTCACCTCAGCAGGTGGCAGCTCTTTGGGGGGTTCCTCCTTGTTCACTAGTGTCCGGGACATGTTGGTCAAGGCTTTTGTTCGAACAGAGGAGGGAAGAGCAGGAGCTGTATATACATCATTCTGAACCACTTTGGTGAGAGGGAGGGCCTTGGACATGGAGAGCTTGGAACTGCTGAGCCCAGCCTAAACAAAGAGGCAGAAAGGAATCTGAGAAGACAGAGACCTGCACTCTTCTGAAAAACAGTGGCTGACAACTAGATGGATGTATGAACCCTCGATGTCTCCCGCTCCCCATATCCATTAGCGGTCTGGAAGCAAAAAGGCTGCTGGCTGCCAGTGACATCCCACTGGTAAGGGGTGGGAGGGGAGAAAAACACAACAGCCCAAACGTGTTCATGGAAATCACTTTCCACAGTGTCGGAAGCTCTTGGCAGAAAGCGTCCACACAGTCCTAACCTGGAAACTCACCCACCCCATTTAAACTTTCTAAAAACCCTACAATTTGGGGCTGGTTTGAAAGCCGAAAGCTTGAGGTCAAGTTCATTCCTAGATATGCTTCTAGCAAAATGGGCTGATCAGCTCCAGGCTGGCTGGGCATAGGCACCCACTCTTAAGACAACCCAGAACTCCCAGCTTTTTGGTCCCTGCTCTGGCCACGTACAGGCATCACGTGTAGCCTGGCCTCATCAGCTTCAAGACTGTCAGGGACTGGGCCGGCCCATGGCTCACTCGGGAGAGTGTGGTGCTGATAACACCAAGGCCCTGGGTTCGGATCCCATATAGGGATGGCCGGTTCGCTCACTGGTTGAGCGTGGTGCTGACAACACCAAGTCAAGGGTTAAGATCCCCTTACCGGTCATCTTTAAAAAAAAAAAAAAAAAGACTGTCAGGGACATTCTGGCTAATCTGGCACATGCAAACCACCAGAAACAGTACCCCACCCCCAACTGGGGATGTAATCTCTTGGATATATAAACTCCCTTGTACTAATATGTCTGAGGAAAAATGCACGAAGCAGAAGTGGCAGGAGGTCTTGCTGATTTAGGGCAGTGTTACAGGCACTGACCCAAGGAGAAAGGAGGAATGCAGCAGCCAGAGGCAGACCAGAGCACAAGTCAGTATCAAGTCACCAGGCCTCTCAAAGTCTTGGGAGTGAGGGGATGCTCCCCATGCTGGATCCACATTCCTCAAGCCACTTTCTGAGTCTCAAGAGCCAGGACAGCTAGTGGTTACACAAGAGGCCCCAGGAGCCAGACTGTGTAGGCTCAACTCCCAGATCCACTACTCAAAACAGGCAGGGTGATGCTGAGCAGGTTTATTTAACTTCTCTGTGCCTGCTTCCTCATCCATAAAACAAGGGTAATAATAGCACCCATCTCACAAGGTAGGAAGGAGGGAGAGTCTTAAATCAGTCAATATACAGCATTTTTTCAATTAGTGCTATCAATTAGGGTTATCCGCTAACTGAGCCAGCTGATAGTCCCCTCAGTAGCAGAGCTGAGCAGTCTAATTATCAGAAAGGCCGGGTCCCTTTGTAAAGAAACAAACTGGCATCATTCATCTTCACACACTACTTTAAGAGTTTAATTAGTAACCAGGAGACTGATCCACACACTCAGGGTGGTAACCAAAATTGAGTCTTTGGACCTCTGAAGGCAAAACAAATGGGGATCTGGCCAGGTAACCCACTGGCCTGTCTGTAACTTGGCTGAATTCACTAAGCTGAGCAGTGCAGACCTTCCAGATGCTCCCAGACGCTGCTGTCTTTCCTTCTCCACATGACGTCTAGGCACCCCGGCCTTGCAAGATTTCCCTGCATGCAGTCTGTACATGGTAGAGCCCATAGGTCAGATGAGGTTTATTCTTGTTAATACCAATCAAGAGGATCCAGAATCCAAGAGTGGGTCCAGAGCTGCTGCTCATGGAGGCTCAGGAAGCATGCAGAATGTTCTGCCACAAAGAAAAATGGGATTCCCTCCTGTGGGATTACTGACATTTTCCCTGAAGTGTCTCAAACACAGCGACTGGGAGCTACAGCTCTGCGTTTCACTTGTTGTGGGACTTGGAGCAAATCACCAGACACCCTAGTCTCAGTATTTATAAAACCAAGGGGTTGGACTAGTTCCAACTCTGAATATCTTATGGTCCAAACAAAAAAATATTTCTGCACTGAAAGGCCCTATTCTGAATAACCTCTCCCATCCACCGGATCAGACACAGAGTGAGTGTAAGAAAAACATAAAATGCCATACTACATGGTAGAGAAAGCTGCCTGAGGCTGCACACTTCATCTGTTTCGTAGGAATGGGAGCTGTAACATCATCGTCTTCATCCAGGTCATACAAATTCTGAGAATAAAGGAATAAAAAAGCCAAAGTGGCATGTAGGCCCTTAACAGACATCTGGAACAAGCACAATAGGGAGATGATTGATGGAGTGAGTGAGTGAGTGACAAAGGAGGAGCAGGCAGGGGTAGAGGTGACTAGGAAGACTGGCCTGGGAGGCTGGGCTCAAGTTCTGAAGGGCTGACTCCCTACCCACAGGGGCCCAGTGAAAATACTGCAACTTCCAGGTACATGAAAAGTACCTTTTTACAAGTGGGCAATACCCGTCGAGAATCCCCAAAATGTTTGTTTATATCATTTGGCTTGAAAAGTCCATCCCAGGTAATCTAGCCCACAGAAATAAATCCAAATCCTAGAAAAAATACTGCAACTTCCAGGTACATGAAAAGTACCTTTTTACAAGTGGGCAATACCCGTCGAGAATCCCCAAAATGTTTGTTTATATCTTTTGGCTTGAAAAGTCCATCCCAGGTAATCTAGCCCACAGAAATAAATCCAAATCCTAGAAAGAGCTTCATCTATAAAAACATTCATAGCAGAAGCATTTCTAACAATGAAAATGACAGAAAAATGGTTTAAATAAACTGGAATGTCAACTCAATAGATTATGCAGGTATTAAAAATGTTTACAGTGAATGTGAAATATTACAGGAAAATGCTTGAGTTACAATGTGAAAAAAGAAATACACAAAATTGGATAAGAATATAGGTACACATTAAATAAAAATGATACTTTAAAAAAAAGAAAAAAAAACCAGGAAGGAATTATGGCAAAATTTCAACAGTAGTTAGCTTTCCAGAAAAGGAGCATGAGGGACTTTTTTTGCAAATTTTCTATATAAAGCACATACAACTTTTATAATAAAAAAATTAAGAGGTAATTTAATTTCCTCTGTGCCTTTTAAGCCTCCCTTTCCCCATTAAGAAGTGTCTTCTTAAAACTCATAAATTGCAAAAAATCAAATGTAACTTCTCCTCCAACACTTTGAACTGGGAACCGCAGGCTGAGCTTCAGTCAAATCACCTAAGGAAGACTCATCAAAACACGAGCATGCATACACAGTCACATATGTGTACACACACACACATACACACACACACTCTACCTGTTTGGCCTGGTGGTTATTGACAACGTTGATCTTCATTCCAGCAGGATGGGTATGAAGTGGTAGCATGGCCTTCTGCTGTGGAACCTAGAAACACTCAGTGGTCATAATTCATCCTACAGAGTCCACATGTGTTATCTACGAGTATGGGGTCACTGAACTTGATATACGGTGGGCATGCAGTTTTGGTCTTTGGTAAAAGGTACTAGAGTGCCTTGCCCCCTCTGCAAAGCAGGAAAGAGACAGGAAGAACTGTCACCCCGAAGACTATGCAGTAATGCACGTGTAGGCCTTAATGAACCTGGCTCAATGAACGCTTGCTGCTGCTGCTGTTCCTATTACCAAAGCTGCTATCAAGATTATATGATATTGTCTCCTTTCCCTTTGGGGTGGCCGCTGTTGAGGGTGGCCAGGGCACTGGACCAGGAGCCAGATCTGACTGGGCTCCTACCTTGGTCCTCTCACTGACTGGCTGTGTAGTGCTGGACACAGTATTTCACATCTTTGAAACTCAGATTCTTCTTTTATAAAATTGGCGTAATAATCCTAGGGCTGGAGTGAGGAATAAGTAAGATCATTTATGTTAAGTGCCTGCCACACAGCAAGAGCTCAATAAATGTTTTGTCCTTTCTCCTCTCTTCCCTCTACCACGATCTCACTTGGAAAAGTCCTTTTTCCTTGGACCTCCCCTTTCTTTTACACAAAACAGATAATACCTTGCCTCTCTCATATGGTTATTTGGCTATAATGTACATAAAAGCCTTTGAAAGCAGCAAAGTGCTATACCAACAGTTGAGAGAACAGTATTTTTGCCCAAACACTCCTGGCCTCGTGCCTAAATGTACCTTTGTTACTAGCTTTCTGGGAATTTATGACAAAAGCCAGACTTACCTGGATGGTTTTGGTAAGCTTCAGAGCAGGAGTCACTGTCCCAATGGGTGAGCTTATGAAGGCAGCAGGGGAACTCCTCTTCAAGCTGATTTTCTCCCGGGCATCAGCCACCTGGCGGGGCTTCTGGGGCACTGTGCTCTGCTGCTTGCGGGAGTTCAACATCTCTCTGGCATCCTGCACTTTCCCTTTGATCCGAAACCGGGCATCTTTCTGCAAAAGCTTCTCCCGGGCATCCTTGACTCCCAGTTTGAGCCGGGCATCTGAGAGGCCAATCTTCTGTCGGGCATCAAATCTCTGCTGGAAGGTGGCTGTGCGTGTTGGCTGGCTGAGAAGGCTCTGCTGGATCCCAACTCGAGATCGGACTCCTCCAACTCCTGGTCTGGCACTGAGCCTGCAAATACAAATTGCAATATTAAGTGGATCTGGTTATCAACAGTATCCCGTGGAAGTAGAGCCATGGTAATACTGGAGACAGGGGAGGTCCTAGAGAAACCAGAAAGCTGCTCCCTGCCTGTGCCTGCATAAACAATTAAGTCTACATAAAGTATAGACTTCTTTCCTGGTTTCATGGATTTTAACTTTGCATTATAAACAAAATTAAGAAGGAGGGCCTGACAATTTTTATTACTAGTTAAGACAGTTTTGCTACCTAGACCAGGTGTTCTGAGACAACATTATGAACAATAATGTCCAGACAATGCCAGTCAAATAAAATAAACTAATTCCCCCAAATATCATAGTCTTGGGCCGGCCCGGTGGCGCACTGCTATAGTGCGCCACTTGGGAAGCGCGGAGGCGCTCCCGCCGAGGGTTCGGATCCCACATACAGACCGGTTCCCGCTCACTGGCTGAGCTTCCCGCTCACTGGCTGAGCGAGGCGCGGGAGCAACACCGAGGGACAATGCCAGTCAAATAAAATAAACTAATTCCCCCAAATATCATAGTCTTGGGCCGGCCCGGTGGCGCACTGCTATAGTGCGCCACTTGGGAAGCGCGGAGGCGCTCCCGCCGAGGGTTCGGATCCCACATACAGACCGGTTCCCGCTCACTGGCTGAGCTTCCCGCTCACTGGCTGAGTGAGGCGCGGGAGCAACACCGAGGGCTGCGATCCTGTTGCCGGTCCCGGTCCGGTACGGGGGCGACACTGAGGGTTGCGATCCGTTGCCGGACACGGAAAAAGACAAAAAAAAAAAAGCAAATATCATAGTCTTGCCCATCTGAAGAGCAAATTTAGTTTTCAAAGGTCTTCCACATCCACACTCTCAATCAGCCCTGTCAGCATGTCCAGAGGCACTTATTATGCCCATTTTACAGTGAGAGAAACAGGCTAGGAAAGATGAGATGATTAACAAAGAGGGCCTCTTCTGCAGGCAGACACCTCCTACTGGGCTGGGACCAAGAGACAACATGTGGATCTGACTTAGAGCTTGAGGACTACCAGGTTGAAGATATAATACAAGAATTGGTAAAAAAGAAAAATAAAATTACTCTGCAATAACAAAAATGTCAAATTCAGACTATTAGAATTGGAAATGAATTAAACTTCATTGAACAGGCCCCGTTCTCTTTCTGGGGTTCCTGTTGGTTTTCAGTGGCTTGAAAGAAAACAGAAGACCTTTCCAAGTACGATGCTGGAGGTCCTTCCTGGGGTGTCAGGCTTCTCCTGCCTCATCCCATCACCTTACCCCCCTACCAGGCCTCTCTCCTCCAGCCACCATAAACCACCACTCCTGTGCCAGGCACCCTGCCAGGGGACTCCTATGTCAATGTCTCCTCTTCGGGAAACCCTCCCTGATTTCTCCAGGACAACCTTCCTTTGTGCCTATTATTACATCTGCTTGTTTCCTCCCTCTATCCTGAGGTGGGATGGGAGGGGGAAAAGGGACTCATTCTTTTTTCATTAATCCCGGGCCTTTGGGAGGCAATTAGGTCATGAGGGTGGAGGCTTCATACATGGGATTGGTGCCCATATAAAAGATGCATCAGAAAGCTCCCTGATATCACCATGTGAGGACACAGCAAAAAGATAGTCTACAACTAGGCCCTCACCAATGCAGGCCCCCACCAGATGCAGGCCCTCACCAGACATGGAATCTGGTAGTGCCTTGATCTTGGACTTCTCAGCCTCCAGAACCATAAGAAATAAACTTCTGATGTTTATAAGTACCCAGTTTATAGTATTGTGTTACAGCAGCCCAAATGGACTAAGACAGGCAGTGATGCACAGTACCATTTTTCTCTCTGGAAAACGGCAAATTACTTTATACTTTCCAGTAGGTTCATACAAGAACTGGGTGGAAGTGAGGGTTTCTAGAGGGGTCATTTACAGACTCATCAGATTAGGTTTAAAGTGGAGGGAGCTGCTTGTCCATCCCACCCTACTTTCTCATGTGAAGACTCTGGGAGACGGAGGCACTAAAGAAAGTGGAGCAGAAAAGCATGGGGTTCAGGGAAGCCAACACTCACAACCAGGGAGAGGAAATGGCTGTGTGGCAGTCCTCCCCTGGACTGGGCTACCCCAGGCTTCGTGGTCCAAAGTCTGCAAAGCCCTGGGCAATGGTGGGGTTCTGCTTTGTGGTAACCCCAGAAACCCACAGCTACACTGAGGGGCCCCTGGCGGAAATGGAGGGAACAAAATGACCTCCATAAAAAAATCCCTACCCCCAGGACCAGTTGGCAAGTAGCATGCCCCCAACTGGCTTAAAAAAAAAAAAAAATGCTTTAACTTATCTCACATCTGCTGATGATGCCCATCAAAGAAAAGAAACAGGGGGCCGAGCCCGTGGCGCACTCGGGAGAGTGCGGCGCTGGGAGCTCAGCAGCGCTCCCGCCGCGGGTTCGGATCCTATATAGGGATGACCGGTACGCTCACAGAGCTCACTGGCTGAGTGCGGTGCTGCCGGTCTCAAAAAGGACAAAAAAAAAAAAAAGAAAAGAAACAGGCTACTGGCTCAGGGGAGGAGCTACTACTGAAGTCCTACTCAAGAAATTGGGAAAGGGGTTTTTTGTTGTTGTTGTTGTTGTTTAAGATGACCGGTGAGGGGATCCTAACCCTTGACTTGGTGTTGTCAGCACCACGCTCAGCCAGTGAGCGAACTGGCCATCCCTATCTAGGATCCAAACCTGTGGCCTTGGTGTTATCAGCACTGCACTCTCCCGAGTGAGCCACGGGCCGTCCCTGTAAAATGATTTTGATCAACATTTACCACCCAGATCCAGATAAAGCTAGGGTTAGTAGAAAGCACTCCAGACGAAACTGTTCACTAACTGCATACCCCTCCAAAAGCCACAGGCATTGGGCCAAGCAATGAAGTTACCAAAAGGAATGTGGTGAAGTACAGGCCTCCAGGTACTCTAAACCGAGGGCTGGTCTATAGATAACGAAATAATCACACTTCTACTCTTGAAGAGGAAGGTACAAAGTCTATGGGCACACTGCAAGCAACTGGACACCAGAGGGCTGTGGAAAGGCTTAGAGGTGGCCTGGAGTGTCTGGGAAGAGTACTTGTCTAAGAGTGCTCTAGGTGGATGGAATGTGGAAAAGCCCACTACAGCCCACAGCTTGCAGTTTCTTTGCTCCCTGCTGTGGCTCTGGCAGGCAGCTGAGGAGGTGTCTAGCTTTCCTCACTTCCCCGCCCTCAAGAGCATTCCTTCTCTCCTCCCACATCACTTCTGGCAAAGCTGCTTCCTGTGGTCCCCAGTTGGAGGCTCCACTTTGGAGCATTCAAGCACTGACAAAGCTTCCATTAAGGCACTTACCATGCTGCATCACAATGATTTGTTTGCAAGCCTAAGTCTCCCACAGGACTAAAAACTGCTCAGCAGCACATCCTGCATCAGGACAATGACAAGGGCTTACGATCTCTGGGGTTAGCTGTGATCACCTCCATTTTACAGAAGAGGAAAGGAATCACAGAACTAGTGGCATGGCTGGGACTGGATTCCCAGGTCCACCCACTCCACAGCCCATACTCTCTCCACTGTAACGGGGTCCAAGCTTCCCTCCTTCCTACTCCAAGCCCCAGGGGAGATAAGACAGGAGAAACTATAGCTATCCTTGAAGGGCTTCTCCTGGAGAAACCAGCCTTCAGACTAGCCTGGTGCTCTGCTAGGATCTGGGCTTCCAATCACCCTTCCCAGCTAAGAAGGAAGCAACGCAGACAGCCAGGGCACAGGGCCACCCTGGCACAGACCCTTTGAGTGGGACCCACAAGGATCTCAGCAGCTCAGAGGAGGGCTCAGATCCTGATTCTCCTGCAGGAGCTTCAGGAAAGGCCTCCTGGAATAGAGAGGAACTGGTCTCCAACTGAGGGAGAACATTACAAATGGAACCAGGCTGCATAAAACCACCATAAAATTGAAAGACTTCATTGATAACGTCACCAACCACACAGTGGGAGCCAGACACAGCCCAATCCAAACCTGATCCTTTCCCCAAAATTTCCTATCTTCTTCTGTCTTTTCCAAATTCCACCTCCTCCTATCACCAGGGCACCCCTCATTACCAAAGGGTTCCTGATATTTATAACTAAAGGAGGTGGGACCATCTCATCATGTGATACTCCATGACTTTAGAATACCATAAAATTGGGTAAATCTAGGACCCCACAGCATCAATTTTGCTTTTAAGAAGTTAAGTTACCCAATCTTATTAATCATTCAAGCAATAAAACATATGGCCAAAAAAAAAAAAGAAAAAAAGACAACCGATCTGTAGTGGATTGAATTATGTCCCCCCAAAATTCATTGAAGCTTGCATTGTGTCCCTCAAGTTTTATGTATTAGAAACTTAGTCCCCACTGTGACTGTTAAAAGGGTGGGAAATCCTATTATGATAATTGAAAGGTGGAGCCTTGAAGAGGTGACTGGATTGTAGGAACATGCAATAGTGAGTGGATTAAAAATGGTGGTCAGGGGCATGGTTCTGAGGGCTTTAAAAGAAGAAGAGAGTCTGTCTTTCTCTCTCTGCTTCTACCATCTTGCAATGTGAGAACCCTAGGTCACTGTCGCCACCACCAGATGGACTTTGGGCTTCTCAGCCTCAGAAACTGTAAACAATTTAATTTCATTTTTCTTTATAAATTACCCAGTTCCAAGTATTCTTTCATAGCAACACAAAATGGACTAATACACTTTCAAATAACTAAAACAATGAGATTTTTGAAAACAAGTTTCATATCCCTAAACACAGAATGGAAAAAGGGGCAGTCTCAAAAGTTTTTCAGTTCACTCCAATTCTGTGTGAAAAAAATCTTCATATAAGGTGGAGGGGAGGTAGGATTGTGCAACTTTAATTTATTCATATTTCCTAACAGTTTCTCTTCTCTGATAATAGGTAATGGCTATTTGAAGTGCTGTACTGAGAATTCTGAGGAAATTTCCAGACTCCAC